CGCCAAGTTGCCCAGGCAGGTCTCGAACCCGCGGGATCAGGCAATCCACTCACCTCAACCTCCCAAAGGCACGGGATTACAGGCTGAGCCACCGAGCCCAGCATGATGAGAACATCTTAACATCAACAGGCAGTGACCACAGAATGCTTACTATGAAAGATGATGCTAAGTAGCTTATATAGTATCTAACGTCAGCTTGACAATAATCCTGAGAGGAAGGTATTATTAGTGTCCCCAATTTACAGGTGAATAAAATGAGGCACAGAGAAATTAAGAAACTTGCCTAAGGATACACAGCTGATGCCTGGTGAAGGTGAGCTCACACCCAGAAGTAGTGGACCTGAAGAGTTTACTGTTCCACTCATCTTTCTGTCTTCAGCACCCTTCCTGCCAAACAAGGGAGCCTTGGTAGGTTAAGTGTTTGTTGAATGAATATAAACCTGAGGGACAGTACTGGATACATAAATCTAATGCAACTCTGAAATATATATATTTTCCAGAAAGTATGTTTTGAGTTCTCTCTGGAGATGTTAGGATCAGTTTTAGCAATGAAAGCATCCTCCTGTCCTGTTCTTTTGAAAGACAATCTGAACAGATATTAGGCATTGTTCTCCTGTTATTTAAGAATTCTGGGCCAGGCTCGGTGGCTCAACTTGTAATCCCAGCACTTTGGGAGGCCGAGACAAGTGGATTGCTTGAGCCTGCAGGTTCCAGATCAGCTCCGGCAACTTGGTGAGATCTCGTCTCTACAATAAATAAAAAATTAGCCAGGTGTAGTAGCCTGTGCCTGTAGTTACTTGGAAGGCTAAGGTGGAAGGACTGCCAGAGCCCAACATGTGGATGATAGGGTGGCCGTGAGTATGCCATTGCCTTTCAGCCTGGGTAACGGAGTGAGACTCCAACTCAAAAAAAAAAAAAAAAATTCTGGTTGGCAAGGACACTAGGGTAGGGGGTGGTGGGACTAATAGGTAGTGACAGGTACAGAAGTTAGGGCTGGGGCTATTCAGTATTTCCAGAGGGTTACCTGCATTAGGGATTGCCTTCTGGTCTGCAAAAGCTCTTACAGAGGATCCTGGGGGATAATGTCAGGGGATGAAGAATTGAGAAGGTAATAAACATTTGTATACCTAACCCTGAATTTTACCCCACATATTCAAAATTTAAAAAAAGGTGGGGGGAGGAGAATTGGAAGATTCATTCCTGGCATTTATTTGCATTTTACTCAGCCAAGTATTCCAGCAGATCTAGCTTCATTATTAGTTGGAATTTGACCAGAAATGGGAAGGGAATTTGGCACTTTTTTTTTTTGAGTTGGTACTTTTAATTAGGAACGACATGGAAGCTAGACTTAAATAGTGCATCAATTTAGATTGCTTTCTGCCTAATTAGGATGCACTGTAACTGAAAGTTAAGAGTAATACTGACACCTGGTGGTCATTTCAATACAACTAAAAATATTTTATCAGCCAAAAAAAATAAAGTAAAACTAAGCTTATAAGAAAGCAGTAAGCAATAAAAAAACTTCATGATGTATCAAGATTTCTGGTTATAAAAAGTCAATTTCTTTGCTATCATTTATTAAACATTTACTATGTACCAGGCACTACACTAAGCAATATATTTTATCTCACTTAATCCTTCTGACAACACTAGGAGACACTATTTTCTTGATTTAAGAGATGATAAACTGGGCTCGGTGGCTCAGCCTGTAATCCCGCGCCTTTGGGAGGCTGAGGTGAGTGGATTGCCTGAGTCCGCGGGTTCGAGACCTGCCTGGGCAGCAAGACCTCATCTCTCAAAATAAATTAAAAAATCAGCCGGGTGTGGTAGCACGCGCCTGTAGTTCCAGCTACTTGGAAGGCTGAGGAAGGATCGCCAGAGCCTAGCAGGTCGAGGCTGCGGTGGCCGGGAGTGGCCATTGCACTCCAGTCTGGGTGACAGAGTGAGGCTCCAACTCAAACAAAACAAAACAAAACAAAAGAAATGATAAAACTGAAGTTCATGCAACTTAAGAAGCTTGCTTTGTAAGAAGGATGTTAGCATTCAAAATCAGGTGGCCGCCGGGCTCGGTGGCTCAGCCTGTAATCCCGCGCCTTTGGGAGGCTGAGGTGAGTGGATCGCCTGAGCCCGCGGGTTCGAGACCCGACTGGGCAGCGAGACCTCATCTCTACAATAAATCAAAAAATCAGCCAGGGCGTGGTAGCGCGCGCCTGTAATTCCGGCTACTTGGAAGGCTGAGGCCGAAGGATCGCCAGAGCCCAGCAGGTTGAGGCTGTGGTGGCCGGAAGTGGCCACTGCACTCCAGTCTGGGCGACAGAGTGAGACTCCAACTCAAAAAAAAAAATCAGGTGGCCAAGACCACTGTTTCTAACAATTATAAATGTTACAAAAGAATAATAGAACTTTTCTTCAGTCAGTTTACTAAGAACTATGTAAAACATTAATCTACACATTTATTTATTAAATACTTCTTGAGGGTCGTCTAGGCTCAGGGCAATATGACAGATACAGTGGGAAGGACAGTTATGAATTTCACAGTCTCCCTGGCCTCCAGAAGTTCATGAACGATCACAATACTCTATCCATCCATCATTTATCCAACAAATATGTGTTTAATACTTACCATGTACCAGTTATTTGCCTGTGATGAACAAGTTGTTCCTTGTGCTTAAGAAGCTTGTCTTGTGCATGAGACAGACAAATAAAAAGGTAAATATAATGTAGTATTCTGAGGGCTACAACTGTGGGGTATGTACAGGAAATATGAGGGCACAGAGTCAGGGTCCCTAAATGAGCTTTGGGGAAATCAGAAAAGGTTTCTGAAGGGACAAATAATGAAAACAAATTCCTTTTCTATATTAATTCTAGCTAAAGTTAAACCAGTTTTTTGCAAAATAATCAAGCAACTACTTGGTTTAATTTCAAATCATGGGGAAAATACTCTTAAAGAGGAAAACCAAATAGTTTAGGAAATACATAAAGATTATTTATAAATATTTCAAATCTGATTAAGTTGTAAAAGCAAATGCCAACCAATTACAAGAATTTACTGGATGTGAGCTTGAAAAGCAAGAAAAAGTCAATCTCACATTTAGCTACTTATTCAGGCCACAAATTTTTGAGTATCTACAGTGTGTATTGTGTGAACAGACTGAAGCACAATGTTGAGCAAAAAGACCAGTGGTACCCACAAGAAGGTTCTAGTTTAGAGTGTAGCAGAGGGGACTGACAAAAATAAAAATGTATACATTTACAAAAGAAAAATGATAAGATTTCAAATGCTTACCAGTAATTAAATCGGAAGGTATTCTATCAGTCAAGAAATCAACCACAAGTATTCTACTTGTTGCAAATATAACGCCCCCCTGGGTGTAAACTTCATAGCGACTGTTACTTGCGATTTCATTTGTTACACGGAGCGGGAGGTGTTCTACTCCTTCTATCTTCAGTTGATTGATAAAATATTCCTAAATCAAATCAAACTTGATTAGTAGACTGTTGAACACAGGGCAGTTTTCTATGGGTTGCAGATATTCAAAACGGAGTATGGCCTTTCTCTGAGATAATGAACTTAATAATGAATATACAAACTAAGTCACTACTTTATGTTGATCAACCAACCAGTCTACAATTGACTAGATTTCTTTTGTTTGTTTCTGGGTTTACTCTAAGGAATAACTGCACTTCAGTCATTATTAGCACTTCAACAACAACAACAACAACACACAAACACCCAAACTCTTTAAAAAAGACTTCTACCTAGAAAATACTTCCCAACCAAAGCCAAGTTTGCAGTCAAGTGTATTCTTAGAAGTTGACAAGGGAATCCTTTTCCCAGTGTTTTAGACTATTGGTTCTGTCCTCATCCATCCTAAAGGGACTTCATAATGTCAATGAGTCCCTTGGCCCTTTACACTCCAGTTCAATACCACCATTCCCGGTACTGTGTGTGGCCTGAGGCCCTAGGTCAAGCACTGAGTCCCGGCCTTCGGGGAGTCAGTTGTCACTCTTCTCTGCTGACATTTTCTCCTGGCCCACCAGCTCTACCCAGGGGATCAACAGGCTTGTCAGACCAGGCTGTATCTCTTCTCGACATCCCCTAGTACAGACGTAGTACCATTTCATCTTCCTCAGTGTCCCTCATTCTCCCTAACTGTAGTTAACTTTCCTGAATATCCTCGGCTTTCAGCCCTGTCCCTTTGGGCCCTATGGCCCTCTTCCCACAGCCTTGGTGAATGTCCTGTGCCCTAAGTCTCTCCTCTTCCCTACAGAGTTTGCCCTAAGTTAGTACCTCCTTCCATGTCTCATCACCTTCGGAAGCCCCTCCATCCCCATCAGTGGTTCCTTGTAGGGATCCCACTCCTCTGGCCCCAGAAACTCCCGCATTTTTCCTATCCAGATCCTCCTACAGACACTTCCCCTCTCCTGCAGGGACTTTCAATCCTCACCTGCACCTTCTCAAATGACATCCCTACTCTTCTCTTGCACCTTTCCTACTTGTTCCTCCAACCCCCCCGTGGTCCCTCCCAGCCCTCCCATTTCTCTTATTGTCCTTGAACTCCTGTCAGGGATCTGCATCCTTCTCGGGACTCCTCCCATCCTTCTCACTGCGTCTGCATTCAGTATCAAGGACCTGCATCACCCGGGGACCCCTCCCATCCTTCTCAGTGTCCCCACAGTGTCAGGGGCCTGCATCCCCTCGGAGCCCCTCCATCTCCGTCAGAGGCCTCGCATCCGCGCCAAGGCCTGCATTAGCTCAGGAGGCCCCCAGCGCTCTCGGGTTCCCTCTCTCCCGCACCTCCTCGGTTGGTTGAGTGTTAAGCACCAGCACCAGGCAGGCCGGGTGGCAGTGTAGCCGGATGAGATGGTGGAGGAGCCTGTCCGCGCCGAGCCCGCGAGCGCACACTACCAGCCCGTCAGTGTCGAGCAGTTCCAGCACCAGCTGCCGTTCATACTCCAGTAGAGGAGCCATAGCCGTCCGTCGGGCCAGCAACCCCGGTTCCATGGAAGCCCTTCCGGGGTGTACCCGAACGCAACCGAACGTAGTCGAAGAGAGCAGAGCCCGAAAGGACGAAAGGTAGTCGAAAGCTGCCGAGGAGAGCCGAGGCTGAGACGAGCTTACGCCAAACGTAGACGAAGGGAGTCGAGCCCGAGAAGACGAAAGCAGGCCGAAAGTAGCCGAAGAGGAGACGAGGCCGAGACGAGAGTCCCCCGAAGAAAGTCGAAGAGAGCCGAGCGCGAGAAGCCAAGCGCCGGCAGAACTCAGCCGAAGAGGAGCCGAGTGAAGCCGAAGTTTTGTAGAGTTTCTACAGACTCTGGAGCTCCCGACCGGTGTCACCTCCAGACCTCAGGCTCCATCCCGGGGTCTTCTGCTGTTTCATATCCCCTGATATCCTAGATCCAACGCAAGCTGCCAAAAAGTAAGGAGAAGGGAAGTAGGCCTAAGGAGCTCCATCCTCGGACGTCGAAAGTTGAAAAAGTTAATTGTCAATATTCCAAGTGCCCCTAGAATGAGTAGCACCGCTACTTTTGCAGTTGGTCTCCCTCCCCCTTTTCTTACCTTCTTTCTTTCTTTTTTGTTTTTTATTGAGGCGAGGTCTTGATATGTTGCCCTGGCTGGAGTACAGTGGCTGTTGAATAAACAGAATCGTTTACTAATTTCAGGTCTTGTTTGTCTGGAAAGGTCTTGCATGAATATAATCTGTTTTTAAAAATTGCAACCAGGTGTCCCGCAGTAGCCGCGTCGCTCCTTCCACTAGAGGGACACCTTCCTCAGTATTTGTTCTGTACCTAGGCACGCCTGTTCACCGCACTAGTGGAGGAATTGTTTTGTGTCCAAATCCAGTTCCTCAACCTTTATTGTTAGAAAATAGAAAATACAAGTAAGCAAAAATAAAAACAAGTAAGCAAAAATAAAAACACTTGATATTGCACTACCCAGAAATAACCATTGTTAAACATCATGAAATCTAATTTTTAGCATTTCCCTCCATTTATTAGACACACTCTCTCATCTCATAGAGTTATTTTATCAATATGAAATAATAAAAAACCTTGATTTAAACCCCGGGTTTATCACTAACATTTGGCAAATCTCTGAACATGATATTTAATATTATTTTACAAAGTCCTTCAATATAGCTAATGAGATTTCCATAGTGTGGATGTACCATACTTATTTGTCTAATACTTGTTAGAGGGTTTTTAGTTTCTTTCCACTTTTTCCCTTCCAATTTTATAAATAATGTTTCACTAAACATCTTTGTAAATAAATTCAATCATGACCTTAAAATACGCTTCTAGAAATGAATAATTACTGGGATCAAGAGAACAAACACTTGCAAAGCTTTTCATTACATTCATGTACAGGCCTCTAGAAAGCCTGTACCAAGTTACATTCACACCAGCAGTTTATAAGAGGATGTTTCTTTACCTTGTTACCACTCAGTACAGTGTTTTGTTTACATTTTGTCAAGATAAAAACAGCATATAATTCCTGAATGCTGGTTAAGTGGAAAGGGATGTCTACAGACACCTTAAATTCAGAGTCTCCTACAAGGCAGATATTAGTCTCAGTTCTGCAAGTGAGAAAAATAGAGGCTCATGGAGGTTATATAACTTTTTTTTTTAAGCTGGAGTCTCACTCTGTCACCCAGGCTGGAGTGCAGTGGGACGATCGTAGCTCATGGCAGCCTCAACCTCCTGTGCTCAAGGGATACTTCTGCTTCAGTCTCCTGAATAGCTGGGTCTACAGGCCTGTGCCATCATGCTGGGCTTATTTTTTTATTTTTTGCAGAGATAAGGTCTCACTATGTTGCCTAGATTGGTCTCGAACTCCTGAGTTCCAGCGATCCTCCTGCCTTGGCCTCCCAAAGCACTGTGATTACAGACGTGAGTCCCTAGGCCTAGCCTGAGATTATGTAACTTGAGTAAGGTCATAGACCTAGTTAGCGTATTTCTTAGATTTAGTTCAGGATGTGGAAAATAGAGACTCAACACATATTTAGGAAATGCAATTTTGAAATAAAAAGGCTGAAAGTTAAAAACTGACTCCCAAGCAGTGGTTGGCAGAATAATAGCTCCCCAAAGGTGTCCATGTTCCAATCTCTGGAACCTGTGAGTATGCTATTTTACATGGCAAAGGGGACTTTGCAGATGTGGTTAAGTTAGGGATCTTGAAATGGGGAGATTGTATTGGATTATCCAGACAAGCTCAGTATATCACAAGAGTGCTTATTAGGGAAAGAGGGAGGTGGGAGGATCTGATTCAGAGATGTGAAGGGAAGCTGAGGTCAGAGTGATATGGAAGGAACAAGGAGCCAAGGAATGCATCCTTTAGAAGTTGAGAAAGGCAAGGAAGTGGATTCTCCCGTACAGCTTCCAGGATTGCAGCCCTGCCGACTCATTTTGGAGTTCTGACTATCAGAACTGGAAGATAATGAATTGGTGCTGTGTTAAGCCCATTTGATCAGATGGAGTCCCCAGCTGATCAAAACAAAACACAGTTTTAAAATCATAGATAGGAGCATACAGTGAAACAATCATTTTGGAAAGGGATAGGTCAATATACATATATATTACACATATATTATTATACATATATATAATATATATATGTAATATATATGTATATTGACCTATCCCTATATATTTAAAATTTTTATATATATAAATTTTAAATACCTGTATAGAGACATATACACACGAAGATACAGTCATTCAGTAGTGAGTGCTTATTGGGCACCCACTGTGTCAGGCACAATTCTAAGTGCTAGGAATTATTAGTGAGCAAAGCAGGCAGAATCCCTTTCACCACAGAATTTATATTCTAGTGGGGAGTTTGTGTATGGGGATGTTTATTCATCATATCATGTGTAGGCTATTGTCATTTCTTGGACATTTCTCCTAAAATGTCCAATAATAGGAGATAAGTTAAAATTTCTTCATGTACCTCTAATAATATCAGACACCAGCGAAAGCTGTATGTAGAAAGATAGCCAATACATATTATTATATACTGAAAAAAACAGCTGCAAAACAATAACGTATGATGTGGTCTCATTTGCCTAAAAACATCAGTAAATAGTGCTGCATAGAAAATGTGTGACTGCATAAAAAATATGTGACTGCATAGAAAGCTCTGGAATGAAAATATCTTAACAAAAGCAGTTGCCTCTGGGAGGTTGGAGTAAGTGGTTGGTATCAGGGTCAGATCTTTACACATCAGTTTATTCCTTCCCTTCTGTTTGACTTTATCATGAACTTATATTGCTTTTATAATAAAAATGAAAGAAAAAGCTTCCCAGCTACTGCATAAACACTCCATCATCACTAAAAATATTACCGTATAAATTCTAGATTTAAAGTAGTGTGTGTGTGTGTGTGTGTGTGTGTGTGTGTGTGTGTGTGTGTGTGAAAGAGAGAGAGAGAGAGAGAGAGAGAGAGAGAGAGAGAGAGAGATGGCCAATACAATGTCAAATGTTAGCATCTGAGGAAGCAAACTTTTGTAAGTTGTAACAGATTGTGCCTACATGTTTTACTTTTGTCTCCGGGTAAACGTTTTCAACTTAAAGTGAAGGGAGTTTTTTCCTATGTTACTGCCACAACAATTCTCCACATCTTTCCTTCTTTCTTTTCTTTTTTTTTTTTTGAGACAGTGTCTTGCTCTGTCCTCCAGGCTGGAGTGCAGTGAGCGATCACAGCTCACCATAGCCTCAAACTCCTAGACCCAAGCAACCCTTCCATCTCAGCCTCCTGAGTAGCTGGGACAACAGGCACGTGCCTGGCTCTTTTTTTTTTTTGGTTAGAGATGGGTCTCACTATGTTACCCAGGCCAGTCTTGAACTCCTGGCTTCAAGTGATCCTCCCATCTTGGCCTTCCAAAATGCTGTGATTATAGGCATGAGCCACCGTGCCTGACCTCCATATATTTTAGACTGTTCTGATCACCGTATTCATCTCTCCTCTCTCTAGGTTATTTTGCGTTTCAGTTTTGCCCTCAAGGATATAGGACATTCATTCTTTGGCCTTTGGAATGGAGCTGGAAATGAGATTAGGCACCATTTTCCTTCTGATCTGAACTAGAACCCAGCACAGCCCGGTTAACCTGAACTTGACTGTCATGGTTTTGCCACTGGAATCTCTAAACCTCTTTATTTCTATGTCTATATCCACATCCACATCTACATCCACATCCACTTCCACACCCACTTCCATTTTTACATTCACTTTCACATCTACTTCCACTTCCACATCCACATGCACTTCCACATCCACATCCACTTCCATGTCTACTTCCACTTTCATGTCCATATCCACTTCCACTTCTGCATCCACTTCCACTGTCACATCCACTTCCACTTCCACTTCCATGTCCACATCCACTTCCATATTTGCATCCACTTCCATGTCTGCATCCACTTACGCTTCTACATCCACATGACATCCACTTCCACTTCCACATCCACTTTCTTTACAGCTACTTCTGCTTTCACTACCATGTCCACATTCACTTCCACTTCCACATCGACTTCCACTTCCACATTCACTTCCACGTCCACTTCCACATTCACTTCCACTTCCACTACCACATCCACATCCACTTTCACATTTACTTCCACATCCAATCCACGTTCACATCCACATCAACTTCCACTTCCACATCCACATCCACATCCACTTTCATTTCCACATCCACTTCCACATCTACACCCACTTCCACATTCACATCCACTTCCACATCCGCTTCTACATCCACTTCCACATCCAGTTCCACATTCACTTCCACATCCACTTTTACTTCCACATCTACTTCCACTTCCAATCCCACACCCACTTCTACTACCACATCCACGTTCACATCCACATCCACATCCATTTCCACGTCCATGTCTACTTGCACATTCACATTTACTTTCACATCCACATCCACATCTACGTCTACATCCACATCCTCATTTATCTGTCCAGATGCTTGACTTGGGGGTACTGAGGGCTCAGGAATGAGCT